ATCATCAAACGGTATAGCTGAGCAATGGAAACGTAACGATTCACCCCAAGTTTTTTCAAGGATGGGGATCTACTCACCAACCTCTCCAGTGCCTCAAAATTAATAGGGCACTCTATACAATCAAACATCAGAGATTCAAGACAAGTTTCCTTCTCTGGGAAACAAGATATCCAATCCACTTCATCGTCTGTTACGTCAGATTCAATCAGATCAAGTACTCGAAGGTGCCTGAAAAGCAAATCAATCAGTCTAAGCTGAATGAAAAAAGAAGCCATCACTCATAGAAACTTCAACAAAGTTTGCCACTAGAACATCCAGCAAAATACATTTAGTTGAATTCAAAGAATCCCCAAATGGATTCCAAAGCATACAGATTCGAACGTGCTCTCCAAAGGTACAAACGATCACTAATGGCAGACTAACGAAGGTGCATTTGGCAGTAGAAACTGAAGGAATCAGAATCAAAGCTAAGAACATTGAGAAAACGAAGTGAAAGGAAAAAAAAAAAAGGAGAAGAAATCAAGAGGCGTACATGCATCTGGAGGCAACAACAGCAATACCACTAGTGCCAAATCCTTCGCAGCAAAACAACACAAGCTCCTTAAAGCCAGGAAAAGAGTCAGCGAGCAGGGCCAGATCGTCGTCAGTCACAGACATGCGCTTCAAATAGACAGTCTCGAGCCAAGGATATGATTTGGCCATGGCCGCCACCCATGGGGAGAAGTGAGCCCCCCAATTAGGCGGCATCAGGTTGAAATCTGCAAACCGAGGCTTCCCTTTGATCATCACTGACCGAACTCGATTAAACCGCGACGTGACTCGGCGAGGGGAAACAGCATAGCAATTTCCAATGAAGAGTTCAGATCGAGTGAGTGCCTCAACGCGATACCACGACTTACAGACGAGCGACGCCGCGTTCCGGTCACGCCGAGAAGTGAGGAAGTGAAGCACGTTCTCAAGAACATTATGAAGTATATTCTCAACAGAACCAGAATCAGAACCAGCTACATCACCAGAACACCCTACACAATTGCGAGCTTTACTTACAGATTCAGCTATGGCGTCACCGGCTAGATCTGAAGGTAAAAATCGATCTTCGTCTTCAGACATTTCTTCAGATTGGTCCACTCTCATGTGCTACAAATCACACTCCCTCAAGAACAAACCACTCGGAATCGAACTTCTGCCAAAAAGAAAGAGAAAAAAAAAAAAAAAAAGGAATCCAACTCCGAATCAGATCACGGAGGGTTCCAAGGTGAATGGATTTAGGTTTAGAAGAAGATGATGAGAGAGAAAACGAAGATCCAGAAAGAGAAACTCCATAGCAGTGAAATGATATGGAAGTTTGGAGGGATTCTTGTTGCCTCTCTGATTTTCTCTCTCTTTCAAATGGCGCTCTATTATTTAGGGGCTTTCCCCTCAACAATCTTGTCCTTTCCTTTCACATTACTTTATTTAAATAAAAAAATAAAAAAATAAAAAAATAAAAAAAGTATTACTAAAATATTAACTGCCCTTACAACTACACTTCAGTCTCGTCAACTTCACTCCCTCCCCTTCTATTCTAAAAATTATAATTTAATTGTCTTATTTTAATTTTATAATTTTAATTTAAAATAAGTTAAATTAATAAAAATATATTTAAACTATAAACTTTCTCTATACAAACTATTTCTTTTAATTTTTAAAAAATATTATTATAATTAATGTTTTTTAAAATACTTTTTAAAATTTTTAAAATTTTTATTATTTTCCTTTAATTTTTTAAAAAACTTTATAAACATTTTTTTTTTACCTTTTAAAAACTTTAGAAATACTTTTATCATTAGCGTTTAAAAAACTGTTCATAAACTTTTAAAACAATATTAAAAATTTTGGAGATACTTTATGAGGTGTTAATAGACGATTTTCATAGATTATCTTTCAATTTTTTAATATTGTTTTTGAACTTGTTAATAATTATTGGGAGTGAGTCACATATTCGCTAATTTAGGGAATGATCATTGGTTTATAAGTGAGAAATACTATCTCTATGGGTACGAGGCTTTTTAGTAAGCCCAAAGCATGAGACCTTACATGGGACAATATCATACTATTGTATAGAGTCGTAATTCCTAAATAAATTTATTTAAACTGTTTTACCATTGTGGAGAGTCGTGATTTCTAAATAAGTATATTTTTTATTTTATTAATTTAGTCTATGCTCAAAGCTGACAATATCACACTCACTGTGTAGAGTAGTGATTCCTAAATAAATTTATTTAAACTGTTTTACCATCGTGGAGAGTCGTGATGTCTAAATACAAAATTAACTGTAAAAGTAATTTTTAATTTTTATTTTATTTTATTAATTTAGTCTTAATTTAATTTAATGGATCCAAAAATGATCGGGGACGCGCAAAAGATGCATTAAGCGAAGTATTTTTAGAAATATAAGATTTAAAAGGTTGATCATATTCTCCCACGCTTTCCCGGGTAAAACCAGTTCTTTCCGATCATACTCTTTTCAAACCCATGCTCCGTACTGTCAAGGTTGGCGCTCTCCGATCACTGCGAGTACTTCGAGGCCCTTACTCCGTCCTCCATTGGAGCTGCTGCTTCTGCACCTCCTCCTAAATCCAATCCATATGTCTGTTCATCCAGCTCTACTTCCCGCTCCTTCCGCGGCACCGTCCTTCAAGCGTGAGTATACGCCTACGAATCTGACTCTCGTATAGGATTTAGCGTAATTTGGCGGTCATTTATGTTTCTTAACTGTTTGTTTACTATCAATGGATCCTAGGTTTTTCGATTGATCAGAAAAGATGGATTTAATTTGAAATGATTGAGACATGACGAATGAAGGCGGCCGAGGCGATCAAGACGACTGAGGATCTCGCGAGGAATGTGTAATATTGTTTCATTCCGATTCCTTGATTTTCTGTTTGTTTTTTAACGTACATTTTAGTGTATTGTTTTTCCGTCTATCAATTACGTTACGAGGAGTAGCATTGCGCGGAAATTTTCCATTTCGCGAAGCAACGTCGCGGCATTGTCTTGAAAATTGTCTTTCGTTTGTCAATGTTTCCGGTTATGGTCCGTTGATGTAGTATCATTAATGAAACAGTATACAGTCCGAGTAAGCAGAGTGTGTTGGAACCACTACTTTAATAGTTTCGAACTCGTTTCACGATTATTTATTTTTCCTTTTTGTTTGGCCATTGAACACAGGGCACAGTGTTGCTAATGCCGCCGTGCGAAGTATTACAGGAGGAGCTGAAGTTCTCACTAACGCTGGTTGCGGGAAATTCTTCCGGTGGACTTGCGAGAATGTATCAGAACAGAAGCTAATGATGGCTTCTAAACGTGACCTGTTTGCATCTGCTGCCAGTTATGAGAACACAAGATCGTCATCTGCAAAACTTGCATTGTGTGGTGGCGATAAGTCTCTCTTGTATGAAAATGGCGAGCGTCTTGGAGCTTTTACGAGGTACATTTGATTACTTTTCTCATTGTTGTCTGAATTGCTTGATTTCCTGGCTTTTGTTGTTAATTTGTCCATCAGTTCTCCATAATAGACTCGAGTGTGAACTAGCTTTCATAAAACAGAAAATGAACTAGTAAAGAAAAGGCTGAGCTACAATCGGTTTCCAGATGTCCCTAAATATTTTATTATTAGATAGGAGGAAGGTTCTGAAATGCAAACTTACAAGAATATGGATTTGGAAGTTTTCCTTTCTGTTAATTAGTATCTTTTACACGACAGAAATTCAATCTTGAAATCAAGACGGTGGTTATAGCTTCTAACATTTTCCAAGAAACTGATCGAGTGAATACATCTAAATACATGTTGTTTTGCCAGTTCTTGTTGCTTTGCTATCAAATCTACAATATAGATCAACTTCGACTGTACGAAGTACATACTTTTATGTGCACCTGTCCAATGATGCAATACTACAGTTGTCATTTTGAAGGTGCCTTAAAACTGAACACTCAAAATGTTTTGAAGTCAAACATCCGAAACATATTTATGCGTGTTTGTGGTTTTGCAAGTGTCTTTGAGATGCTCAAGGAGTTGTTGCTACTAAAGTTTAGCATAACATTGCTCCATAGCCTGTAAGACGTCCACCTCTTCCCCCTCTCCTTTCTCGCCTGACTAGGCTACTTTTCAAAATGGAGTGAGATCACCACTTATTGGAACTATTACTTCACTATATAATAAAGCTTAGCTTGAGATTAAGCGTAGGTAGAACTTTTCTAGGAGTCGAGTAATACAGTCTTTTAGATGCTGATTTGTTATTTCCTAATTCATTGATGAACTATATGATAGGTAACTTTTCTAGGAGTCAAATAACAAATCAATGTTGATAGGTAACTTTTCTAGGCAGACTCCCCATGAACAAGTAGAGATCAACCCTCAGAGAAATACCCGACAGGTTACCTCTGTGGACCATGCATTCTGCTCTACTGGTGGATGTATTCTTTAGTAGTGCTCTGAAAAATTTTAAAGGAAGTTTTGCAGAAATTCAGTTCATGATGGGCAGGGATCAATTCCCCCCGTCATAAATAAAGTCAAATTATCAGAATGGCCTAGTGGTTGGTCTTTGGAGAGGATGTTATCTATTGTCAAGTGTCCGAAAGCTACAATGAGAATATCATAGTATTTGGAATCTCAAAATCAGTTCATGATGAACATAGGTTAAGAGTTTCAGCATCATAAATGGAAGTTGCCTCTGTTGTCTACTAGTTGATCATCGGTTAGGATTTTATAACCCGTCAAGAGCATAGCAAGGTACAATTAAAATTTGAGCACAGAAGGGTATTAAATTCAGTTTGTGATGAACTTCGGTTGAGATTTCTACCATCATAAATGGAATTAACTAATATTGCCCAGCAGTTGATTGTAGGTGAGAGGGCTAAAGAACGTCAAAATTTTTGCATTGGAGGATGTCATGGTTTGTGGAATTTCAAATTAATTTCTCTGTTGATTTTTTGTGATTTACGTGGTATTAATAGGCATGGAGTGGAACAAAATACTGGACGATGAACTGAGCTATAATTTTTCTTTTGGACAAAATAAGCTATCATTGATACCCATAATGTAAAAGAATGCTAATCACAGGTGCGTAATCATATCCTTTTGCATGCCAACTTCATATTTTACATACGGCTCTTGCTCTTTTTGTTTTATAGCAAGGAAAGATGCTAAGTTGAAAGGCTCTGAAGTCTGGCAAGTTTAGAAGATTCGTCAATTAAAATTGAGTAGAAAACACTAACAAAATTTTTCTGTACGTTTTAGGGTCCCAGGCCAATGAAGCATTATGCAGAGCCGCATGGCATACGGGAGTTGGAAGCATACTGAGAGTTAAGTATCCATTAACACTTCTAATAGCGTTAGAGTTGTCTGCAGCTTACAAAGACGTATGCTTCGTTATTTATTTCTTTATTATTATTATTATTGTTTTTAAAACAAGGAGCTCATAAAGAAAATTTGATTGATCAATTCGGACTAGAATAAATCAATAAAATTCGAATAATAAGCTTGAGATTGAATGAAATTGCCCACACACTGCGAATTACAAGAGTTTTATAACCACTTTAAGCTTTTGGGCTTTAAAAGACACTCTTGTATCGCAAGTATGACCCACGTAATGAGTGAGGGTTGTTAGCCCTTGCATGCGTATAGTCGATTAAGTTAAACAAATATTAGAAATATCCTCTATTGTTCTCTAAAATATTACATCACAAGAAAAAATAGTGGAAAGGAATTAGAATCTACAATATGTTTAACCAACAAAACTATGTTAAGGTCGGCATGTGATTTTTATTGTTTTTTCTTTGGTTGAGATTTTCAACGTTATTATCATTTTAATGTATAAAATATCAATTTTAGTAGGTTCTAATGTTTGGGAGTTGTATGTTTTCTACTTGTGAAAAGTAGATTCATTTAATGCTGTTGCAAATTAAATATGTAATTTCTACTAATACTTTTTTTAATCCAATAATAGATATTGGTTTTCACCCAAGAAAATAGAAGCTCCTTTGGTATGTATTCATTTTTTTTTCAATAAAGGCTCCGTCTAAACATTTTTTTTCATTTAATCCAATAATAGGACATTTTGTGAGTTCATCTTCGAAATATTTTTTCCTTCCAATATTTTTTTATTGGAGCTTCCCTCATTTCTTTTATCAAATATAATGATGCGAATCGTGCTTTAATGAGTTCTAATATGCAAACATCAAACAGTCTCGCCTTCTCGGTCCGAAAAGTGCATTGTTGAAACTAGGTATACATGTTAAAGGGTGCATCAGACCATGTAACAGAAGAGGAAATGAGTATCATTCACTCTTTCTATTATTGGACATTGACACTTGAATCCACAAAAATAGCTAAAAATAAATAAATAAACAAATCTATGTAGATCAATAAAGTCTGAGTCGAAATGTGTTTATAAACTTCATATCTAAATTCTTAACTCAATTTAATACTTCCTATTTCATTGTCTCTATTTACACTCTTGTTAAGTTTCTTGTTTTCAGGTACGTTCCTGCATGGGAAACAATATTACATGACTCCCGCTTTCTGTTTCAGGACTTAATGGCTCACCCTCTTCATGAAGACGAATATGTCACATGAGCTGCTGTAAGTTGTTACTTATTAAAACGCAGGTCATGAAGATTGAAAAAGAAATGAATAGATTCATATTATATTGAGGACGTAAAGGTGGATGAATTAGGAAACGACAACAACATTGCTCCAATTAGTGGCAGAGACTTACTTTGGTGAATGCAGACTTCATAAATTAGCGCATAAAGGGGAATCACTTCCTTAGATGTGATGGAATGGAAACAGCTTCTTGCCATCGTGGAATCTCTCAATGGAAGGTAAATATTTTTCCAATTCAAGAATTTCATTTCTTCCGGAGAATTCTTTTATAAGGTTTCCTATGATATTATATTAGTAGGTTCATATCATATTTAAATTTTCAAAACAGATAGGGTTGCATAATTGAAAAAGGTTAAAACATTTTTTTTTTTATAGAATAGAAATTAAACTAAAAAAATTAAAACATAAGGGATTAAAACACATGTTTAGTCTAAAAAAATAAGTTGAAACTCATTTTTATATTTCTATTTAATCTCATAGTCATTTTTTACTTGAAACTTCCTCTAAGCTGAAAAATCAGTATTTCCTCGAATAAATTAGATAACTTTGCTTTTAACTTCTATAAACTTGAAACAAACAATATGATCCATGGGAAAACGAAAAATGTAGTGGAAAAACAAAATCTTAGCAAAATGAAAACTGGAAGCTTCTTTATTGTTGTTTTGCTATTGTTGTTCTCTTTCATACAATTCTCTGGGATTAGTTATAATGTGATTAGGGTGTTGTATATTAAGGGAGGCAAAAAGGTCATTTCCATTCTTGACTTTTAGGAACTTGAATTCTTATCCTTGTGAAAGGGTAGAAGTAGAATGGGGGTGGTGAACATAGGGTCTGTCGCTAACTTGCGTTGACAACATAAGATTAGACAAGAAAGCAAAGGCTCAGCTTTGCTTCCCCCACATATTCAATGCCACAGATGCACAGTCAGAACCCACTCACTGTGTGATGATAGCATTGCTTTTACCTCCTTACTACCAAGCTCCTAATAATGAGAGAGAGAGAGAGAGAGAGAGAGAGAGCCCACTGATAATGGATGGCTGCTTTAAAATGCAAACGCAGGGGATGTGACAAATCATCAAATGATTGACCCCACAAATTGACCGACCTATTTAAAAACCTCCAATGCCATCTCAACTTTACTCTCTTCACCGAACAACCCTCTTCTAATCCTTTATCTTTATATCCTAATGATTCAAGTTCTCACCGGTAGATATGATCTTTTTTGGACTTTCTCTTTCAAATTCCCCTAAAAATATTTAAAACACTTTAAAACACTTTTTCTTTCAGGTTTCACACTTTTATAAAGAATGTTTTGTTCTCCTCTTCAACCGATGTAGAATCTCACAGTCCACCCCCTTTTGAAGTCTAGCATCCCGCTGCCACACATTTCCTTCTCCAATCGATGTGGGATCTCTCAATCCACTCCCATTAGGGACTCAATGTCCTTGCCGGCATACCGTCTCGTGTCCACCCCTTCGGAGCTCAACTTCTTCACTGACATCGTTCGATGTTTGGCTCTAATATCATTTGTAACGGCCCAAACACACCATTAGTAGCTGTTGTCTTTTTTGTGTTTTCCCTTTCAAGTTTCCCTTTAAGAATTTTAAAACACGTCTCTTAGGGAGAGATTTCCACCCTCTTATAAAGAACAATATTTTGTCCTCCTCCCCCAACCAACTTGAGATATTACACTCACACCCTCCCACAAATTCAAGTTTCTTATTCACTATGAGAAAAGGGGGAGAGAGAGGGGCCTCCAAGCTGTGTACTTGTACAGCATCTTCCATGGTCATGATCATCAATGTCCATATCACTCTCGATTGATATCAAAAAATCACTAACTAGAGACAGTGCCATTAATTAGCATATGAGAATTCTGGCCATGAATTGTATTTCGGCATTTAATGCCGATCTCACATTGCTGATAAATAACAAATAATAGAACACCAGTTCCTCTGATCAGAAAGAAAGAAACATTATCATTTTTAGGGGAAGAGAAGAATCCTACTCGGTTTTTAGCCCTCTCATCAATGGCCTAGACCACCTCCCATGTGAATCACGAAAAACAAAAGTTTCTTGTAAGATTGATTACCTACAACGATCCCCTTGCTATTAATGACCTTAGAGAAAGGATAATAATGTTCTTGGATCTCTTAGTTCATCAACCCTCCAACGGACAGCAAGACCCACAGATGTCACCAAAGCTTTTAATGCCACGTCTACAACCCCTGCCTCCTCTCAATCTCTCTTGTTTACTGATATCCAATGCCAGATCAGGAGGAACATTATTTAACTCTAGGCAAACACAATATTACAATATGGAACATACCACTAATGCTCATACATGAATCAAGATGGTTCATGTACCGATACGAGAGAACATACCAATATGGAAGATGAACCAAATAAATTCAATAAATTCATGAACCAAATATTCATGACAATTCTCGATCGAAATATAGTCCATTCATGAAACTTGACTTGAATGCCACTGGGGAGGGACAGGGAGCTCTTCCTTCTTTAGGGGGTAGTAAAGGGCATTCCTGCAGGAACTAATGATAATTCTTCCCGCACAACAGTGTGATCTTGCTCAACCAGTGGAAGCAATAGGGAGTCTGAAATTGTATAGGATGTGTACAATTTCTAAAGCATGTATTATTAACACTTCGACATGCTTCCCAAAATCCATACTCCACCCACCTGAGGTTGATTATTCACCTTCTCATTATCATTCCTCATCACTTCAACAGGGCCATATTAAGTAACAATATTAACATTAAATCAATGTAGTAAATGAAGGGGGAGAGAGAACACTACTGGGGGGACAACTTCGTATAGGAGAACACTGGAAATATGGATGATATCATTTAGAAAAATTATGCCTAGTAAATGTGAATACTAGTAACAAGATCTATAACCTATAGTTAGTTTATGTGTTTGTAATAACCATTATTTTAGTATCAAAATGAATCCACACATAATCATAAAAAGATAAGATTTTTTCAGTAAACTGTTTTTTGAACAGGAATGTCAGACAAATGGAATATTTATTAGTTGTTTAGTTATTTTGATTGGTTTACTTTCTTGAAATATTTCCTTAAACTGGCCATATATAATTAAATTTTTAGAGATGTTTTTTAATTTTTATATAAAAAAAGTGTGATTTTTGCAAATATGTGTATCTTTTCTTTGATTCTGTTGAAATTATTTACTATACATTAATTTTTCTTATTAAAAAAAGCCAAATTATCAGTTATTAATTAGTTTGGTCACTCACAAGTCATAATCTATCTAAAAATGCATACTCAAAATGGGAAGAAAGACAAGATAACATGATATACATACTTGAACTTGATTTGCCCGCTTCCTGCTTCATCTTATTCTGTACATTACAATATTAACACCGCATATAGAAGAAAGCAAAAAAAAAGAAAAAAAAAAAAAACCAAGGAAATTGTAATGGCAAAAACAGCAAATTGTCACAGGGAAAAAAATGCAGCAAAATTTACAATAATTTACAAGGCAATAGAAAGAACAAAAATTGAAAGTACTAGCTTGGCTGGTAAATGTTCTATATTAAGAGAGAGCTTGAACGAGACTTCTCATAGGAGTGTCTGTTAGAACAAAATGTTCGGGGTGCTAACTGCTACTCCACCAACTATGACTATTCCAATTTCTGTCAAAAATTAAAAACATTAAAAAATAATAAAAATTCAAAGATTGTACATAATTTATGAAATAAAGATGCACACGCAAATTTTGGTGCTAAAAAGAAAAAAAGAACTTGAGACATATATATAATGGTTTTTTTTTTCTTTTTTCTTTTTTTTTTTGGGGATAAGAAACCAAACTTACAACGGAAAAAAACTAAAAAATTAGAAGGGCCGAAGGGGTACAGTAAACAAGCTCTAAACAAATAGTCCAACACTAACTAAAACTTCAAAAAACAAAAACATAGTCACACTTACCTGCGTGCATCCCCTACATATCATCAACTCTGAGCACATTCAAATGGATGAAGGCTTCCTTCTGAGAAATCATGCATCCTAAACCGCTCTAAAATTTCAAATGGCCTGCTCGCAGCCAGCACCACACAATGAAAATATGAACATTAACATACAATGGTACGTACCAACATGGTTGAACATAGGGAAAGATTTCCACGTATTCGATATATTATGATTAGGGAAACACCTCGTTCGATATCAAATCTTATTTCTGATAAGAGCAATGGGGTTGGGTTGGCCTAAAGATTCTGGAGAATGGGTCCAAATCTCCTACAGAGGCTACTTAGGATATTGAAAACTTATATGTACCATGTATAATGATAGCGGAACTCGTACGGTAAACATTCTCTGATAAGTTAATTACTATCAAGATTCCATATATTATTACATTCTTTCATCTATCTCCGTGAAAGCTTAGTGTTTTTTAAACTAATTAATTAATTAATTAAGACCAACAAAACAATGCATATAATAATTAACAAATCCTATATTATGAAGGTCAAGGAATCCACGAGGCTTACAGTATGGCTTCTCTATTACGGCAGAGTCTACGCTGATTGTTCTCTATTGCAGCCAACACATCAGCAGCCTGCGGTCCAATCGCTCCACCATCTACGACTGATCGGAATGGAGCAGTTGGAGTCCATAGCTGTGACAACAAAGGAGGAGGACATCAATAACTGAGAGATAAGGCATTCAGGCGAGCCTCCCGGTGGCGTGGTACAAAGTGGGTTTAGTACGCCCTGCCAAAACAGCTCCGAAACAAACAAAAAAAAAGGTCATTTATGGAATTGTCAACACTCGTACATACATATGTACCTTAATGGTATTATCGATCCCGCTGGTAGCAATGGCACAATCAAATGGATGACTCTGGACGCAATTCACAACTGAAAAAGTGAATGAAGAGAAAATTCGTACTTCAGTTTCGGTTTCGGTTTCTGTAATTGAAAACGAATTATTCATCTATAAAATTATTTGGATGGTATTTACCAGCTCCATCTCCAACAAGAATTTTAATCAGTCTACCAGTTTTCTTCTCCCAAATAAACCATCTCCCATCATCACTTCCACTGGCAACATATTCACCTGCAAATATCATTTTACAGAGTATCAACTTCCCAAATTATCACAAGTATTTATCATTTTAACGACCTATGCTTGTTTCTAAAAACCAAATTTGGCAATTATATCTTACAACCCCTCCTCTTTCTTCCTACTAGCACAAACGAAGACGTCGCCCTTCAACCGACACTGCAATACACCATCACTTACAGCACAATTCAATCTAATCCATTAACATTCAAAGCTATTCTTTAGGAGATTTGGAGGAAAACAAGTTCAAGAATTCTATAGGGAAAAGAGAGGTTGCAATTTCCTCGTAGAGAAATCGGGATGACATATAAAACAAGGAAATGACTGTGTTGTGACCTGCAATAAACATGGCTGTGTCTGTAAAAAATTGGGCTCCGATGACAATAATCATGGGATAGGGAATAATGGTACCATCTCACACGCCCATATAGGACCCACTCTAAAGAGATCACATGAACCTAAAATTTAATCAACTTGTAACTCAATTAGCCATTCCCATGGTTCAGTTAATACCTCTTTGCCCGAGAAAACTAGCTTGTTTAATATCAGTTCCGATATTGCAATGACCGACATATCTTTGCTTCATATCAATGACAGGTTCAGGCTGCATGTAATGTAACACAAAGCTTAGTCGGAATGAAGACATCATCAACTAAAGGTAAATGTATAGAAGATTCTGTCAAAGTATTACTAGAACCTGATAGAGTATTCCATCATTGTGTGACGATGAAGGAGACCCACAGGAGTCATTCGCGCCAACCCTTTCTATTGCTGGATCAACTCGTCTATGTATTCTAAGATTTACACTTCCATGTAGAACGTTAGAATCGACGTCTTGGGCTTCATCACCTGATAAGGTTTCAAAGTCCAGCTCCACCTCGTCATCATAGTCAGAATCTTCTCTTTCTGATCTCACCCCATCTTGTGAAACATCACTGTTTGCATCTGAGCGGTGAAGAAGGTCACTTAATGATAATACACCACCTAACGGTGCTGATCTTATAGCTCCATCATTGTCTTTATTTGATTTTTCCAATTCAGCTGGTTATAATATAAAATCAAATAAATCAAAAGCCAAAAATGAGAAGGAAGATGGCAAGATGCAGAACTGTTGAAACAAGTTGAATATCTTTCCAATTTTCCCAGCAAAAACATATACCCTTATCAGACACCAAAAAAAAAAAAAAAAAAAAAAAAAAAAACATTTTCAATCATAAAGAGATCTCTCCAATCTGCCCAGCAGTATAATGTTACTATGGACTTCAATCCATCCTTAGTTAAAGAAACCACGCTAATTACAAGTTCCAGACTATCATTTACCTGCAGCGAGGTCCCTCTTTATGCTTTCCACCTTCTCTGCCACTTCAGGATTAGATGGGGCCAAACACTGAGCAGCAAAGGCAAAATCTAGGGCTTCCTTGTGTCTACCTAGCTGCAAGATAAGAAAGGAAAATGAAAAAAAAGAAGGATTGAATCTATCCCCACAACTTGTAACGTTTTACAGAAGTTGGATATGCAAATCCAACTTCTTCAGGAGTGTTATTCATTGAAGGAAAAAAAAAAAAAA